GACGGCTTGTGATTCCCCGATTAAGGGGCGAGATGAAATCTCCGTGAGTTTGATGTTGGGCCAGTCTGGAGGACTTGAGGCCGGATCCTTGCCCATGGCTTGAGCACCGAGGTGCTGATTGTGTGAGCAAGTGTTTTGAACTTATATGTTCAATATTGCCCCTATTAGCCGGAATGGCGGTTTGGTATTCATGTGATGAGTATGTTAGTACTGCGAGATGTAATTATATGACTTGGTAGTGACGAAGAAGTCTGCAGGATAATAGATGAACTGTTAAGTGATTCGACTCCTATTGTGGATTGATGTGTAGCCCGAATTATGGGCGCATGAAGAACATTGTCGTACCTCCTAGTTGCGAAGTGAAGTGCATTGCATGCGGCGGTATGAGTTCGGACTCAGGAAGACTAATGATTGAGTAACGTATATGATGGTGAAAGGTATGCTGAAGTACTAAATTGAGGCGAAGCAGGGGTCATCTCCTGCGGAGTGTTCTTGAGTGGTATGGTCCTTACGTGTATGTTAGAAGATCTCATGTGTAATTGAAGGGTATGTGTTGAAATTTAAAAATTGGGGTCGCTTAAGAGAGTGGACTCAGTTGATGTGGGGATAAATGCGAGGGTTATAGAGGATTTCAGTACTAGATGATCTGTGTTTTCACAAACTTGTAGATGATTTGAGTTTAATCTCACTATGACATTGTGGCATCATTAGAGTAAAAGTGTTATGAGTTGTTAAGTGTGTCTTGATATGTGGATTCGAGCCAAGTTGGGGAGGTTGCTGTTGATTAGCTGATTGCACGGTTATGTGCTATGTTGGTTACGTCTCAAGGTATGCTGGCGAATCGGTTCTAGTTGCAGAAATTGAGCCGAGGATGGGCGAGTGAAGCAAAATTTCGACAAAGGTTATATTATGTTCCATAGGGTATGAGAATTTCGGAATGTTTAGAGTTGTTGTTGGTAAAGAATGCTCGGTGCATAGAGCAGGAAGTTGCTTGGTTGTATTGGGATGAGGGTCTCATTTTACGGTACCGGAGTGTCAATAAAGCACAAGTGGTTCTGTTCGTTAAATCAGATAATTTGCAGATGAATAAGAGAGAATGACTCTCGAGAATGGTTTTAATGTGTTCAAGAATCTACATGTAGCACTCGGGTGTTTTAAGGTGGTGTATGTGACTAAAAGCAGTGTTTTCAAATGAAAAAT